GAGTCTGGAAAGTACCCTCTGTGATAAACGAGGGACTGCTGTAGAGATTTCTGACCTCTTCAGGTGGTTTTGGCTTGCACACTTGTGAGTACACATCATCCTCTTCTGGTTTCCTAAAAAAGCACATCATCATGAAATATGGTGTCGGTTAATGAATTTATCTTTTTCCAAGTAAACGCAAAACAGGAATTCTCACTTTTTCTTCTTCTCGAAGTGCAGAGAAGCATAGTTGACAGAATCGATCTCCGTGAGTTCACGCTGATGTCCTGCTGGGTTTTGTGCAGACGGAGCCTGAGCAGACAGTGGAGACCGAATCGTTTCATTCAAGCTTTAAAATAAAAAGCTTTAAGTTGTCCATTGAGTTATTCTTCCCTGAGTCAAAACACTGTATTCACTCACTCAATTTAGAGTCACCAATCAGCCTAACATGCATGTTTTTGGTATGTGGGAGGAAACCGGAGCATATACACAGTTTTATATGTGCACAGAATTTATTGGACGCGGCTCATAGTTTGGAAATTATGATAAAAGCTTTCACAGAAAGTGTGCCTGACTTCTGTTGTATTCAGGTCAGTAAATATTTCATTGCTTTATTTGTTATTAAGATGTTGTGCAGTTTGCTTTGTAATGCTTGACTCACTTGATTTTTATGTGGCAGATTCACAGTGGCATGAACAGAATTGTTGTTTGACCTGGAGAACAAGAATAGACAATAATAAAAAAATACACTTTACATAAACTACATAAATTACTGTCAGCAGACTCTTACTGTCCCACACAAATCGGAGTATCCTAAAAAGATTCATTGTCTAAAGAATGACCAGGAGCATCCATCTCCCTGTCCAACAGAATGTCCCTTGTCCTGTGTGAGGACACTGGATGTGGCTGTTGTCTTACGTGACGTCTGGACGAGGCTGTCCACGTGAGGCGTTCAGGCGGCACGGCTGCTCTGGCAGGAGGTCATCTCTGCTCCGGAAAGGTTCTGCTAACCTGGCCTCATCCTCATTCATCGCCGTCCTCCTCCTGGGTTCCTTCCAGCAAACCTGAATTATTGTTCACACACAAACACATGGAGGGAATGAGGTTTATATATGAAATGTATTTACCGGTAGTACAGACATTAAAACGTTGCACAATTAAACCCTTACCAGAAAAACACAGCAGGGCCATGAGTCTGTTGTTCTCTGTTGAATTAATTTGCTCCTTCTGTGAAAATAAGAAGCCACCGGTAATTATACGTGTGCAACTTCAATATAACGTGTTTTCCTCATGAAAAACATTATGGGGTGCCGTTTTTAAAGTTAGATGGTTAAAAATTAACATCAATATTTTGGTTTATTTAGCCTTTAATATGAAATAAAAGTAGTTTTATTTTTTCAAAGTCATTATGTTAACCATGTTATTCATACATTTATAAATGTCATAGTTCCAAGCTAAATATTTAATTTACAAGCTAAATATTTAGTTACCAAACTAAATACTTAAGTTTAAAGTAAAATATTTAGTATATATTTAGTAAACTAAATATTTAGGTGTGAATTAAATATTTAATTTAAAAGCTAAATATTTATTTTCAAAACTAAACATTAAATTTATAAGCTAAACATTTAATTTCTAAAATGAATATTTAATTGACTAACTAAATATTTAACTCTCACCTAAAGCTAAATATTTAGCTTTCAAGTTAAATATTTAGTTAGCAAATTAAATAATTAGTTTAGATATTCAATGTTTAGCTTAGAAATTAAATGTTTAGTTTGGAAATCATATGTTTAATTTGGAACTTAAATATTTAGCTTGGACAATAAATATTTAGTTTGGAAATTAAATGTTTAGTTTTGAAAATAAATATTTAGCTTGGAAATAAAATATTTAATTTACACCTAAATATTTAGTTTACTAACTAAATATTTAACTTGTAAGTTAGGTATTTAGTTTGTTAACTAAATATTTAGCTTGTAAATTAAATATTTAGTTTGGAACTATGACATTTATAAATGTATGAATAACATGGTGAAAGTA